TGGGCCTGAATGTCTATATTAATTAGTACCTTGGATGACCCCATGGGCCTTACGAGGATAAACCCAATAATTATATTTCATTTTATATTTCTCCACAAAATTCAGACATATTTTTTATATTTTTCAAAATGTAATTTACTTCTTATGTACCTTAAAGTCATCATAAGCACATGAGTAAAGAAACAGAATCATAAGTAAGTAAAGCGAACACGAACAAATTACGTAATATCCTATTGATAAATAAAAATGCGAGCAATTCTGATATAACCATGCAAATCGCGCGCTAACGCTGTTTGTTGTCGCTTTTGTATAGCGCTTCAATAATATAATATGCACGGCTCGTTTTCTTTGGAGTGCTTTGAAAATTATAAAAGATAAAATCTAGGTCTAACCAACGAAACTACCGTTATTTTATATGCAAACTATAAAAGTGTACCTACCATAAAAACATTCACGAACATTGCAAATGCGTTCGCAACATTATATTTTTATGTGGTAGCATCATGCTGCAGCTGTATTATAGCTAGAGCACGAATGGATCGATTCAACCGTCTGAGAGCCACGCTCTTACACAATACAAACGCCAAATAACTTAAATAAAAAAAATAAAAAAAACCACAACAAATAGAGCTGGAGATCTTCAAACGGCTGAACAGATTTTCTTGAAACATAGCTAAGAACACTCGATTAAGACAGCTGTCAAAAGAAAAACTTAATCAAAATCGGTTCATCCGTTCAGCAGCTATGATGGCACAGCCAGGCACACAGATACACATATACACAGACACACACTACAAACATACAACACCTCTCTGTTTTCGTCGGGGGTTAATAACAGCATAATGCTGCTATTTCGTGTGATGACTGTAACGTTTTATTGGTAACGAGGCATTTCCCCTTAGTCCTCGGAAGTGACAACGTACTTCTACATTTTGATTCTTAATCGAGAATGGATCTTGAAGAGAGGTCTTGAATCTAAGGAACGTCTCTTGCTATCAAGTAGGATGTTTGATCGTTTGTCTTCCTTATTCGATAAAAATCTTATAATTATGGCTTAAAGAGTTTTCACATTATGAGCTCTCCTATTTTCAACAGACTAAAAAAGGAGGAAGTTCTCAATTCGACTGTATTTTTTTAGTGTTACCTCAGAACTTTTTCTAGGTAAATCGATTTTGATGATTCTTCTTTTATTTGAAAGCTAGTGCTTCTTATGTGGTCTCATATAAATTTATAATAAGAGAGTAAAACTGATTTTTTTTTCAGCCGACAGAGGTTGAATAATCGATTGGGATGGATAGATTGACCCCAAGTCAATATGTACAAATTCCATACATTTTAAAGTAAACATTACGTTAAAATACTAAAAGTTAAATATAACTAGGTACTTTTACGGATTTTATCGAGTTTAATAAACTTATTTTTATTAATTTCCGACGTTTCGGGTGCTTTCCAGCACCCATGGTCACGGGGGACTCAGTCCGATAAGATCCGTAAAAGTAGTTTTATTAAATGTGTAGCGTTCACGTAAATATAAGAAATCATTATACTAAAAATTACTCAAATTTGGAATAAAAAGGAACCGACTAGCTTGCGCTTAAAACAACTCAGATTGGTAAACTGTTATTCGCCATTGCTTCTTCGTGACAGCGCCTGGCCACATAGTACACAACAGATGTTGACCAAATTAGCAGAGCTAGAAATCCTTTTTACATAATATACCATATTCTAGTCTTACCCCAACAGACTCCACTTTTTTCGAAGTTTAAATAATTTTTTGTCAGGCAAAAATTTTTATTTCGAAGAAGCAATAAAAAAAAAGCGCCTTTAAAGAGTCTATTATCGTACAGCAGATTTCTTAAGCATTTTTAGTTTAGGCAAATATGTTTATATGTTTTTGTAAAGTTTTTGATAATATTGTTATTTAAAATTTCCCATACACACAATTTCATTAACAAAAATCCAATATTTATAAGAATTATATATAAATAAACAGTACTTAATGTATAAAGAGCCGTGGTAGCTCGGAGGCTAAGTGTTCACTGTAAATTTCACAGTACGCGAGTAACCCGGGTGCGACCCCCGTCGCCACCAACGTAATTGTTAATTGCAATTTTAAGTGCAAGCTCGGCGGTGAATGAAAACATCGTGAGGATTCCTGTATGTCTGAGAAATAAATTGGGACAGCGCGGCGGACATTTCTTTGCACTAAAACTGCCAGAAATGGAAGGAGGCCTGTGCCCAGCTCTGAGATGTGACGTATATAGACTGTAACTAACTAATATATCATAAAAAACATAAACATCCCGGTTTAAATTAAGAAATGAACAAAATAATTGTAAAAACTATTGGTAAATTCAATTGTTCAATTAAAAAAATTCCGTATAACCACAGAATAAATAATAGGTACATGATTATAGCTAATTTTTTTAAAGCAGTTTAAATACACACAAGTTTTCACTAATAAGTACAATTAAAAAAATTGGTAAATCCAAAAGAGCACGACTCATAATGCTCATATGATAGTGAAAAAATAAAAAAATATATAAATTGTAGTTCTATTCGTCAGAGTTCCAGTAGTAGTCACCGAAGTACAGCCTCAAGTCACTCCGTCAAGTTCGAAGGTAAGATCTATTCATAACTAACAAAACGAGCCCAAACTCGGCTCATATACATAGGCTGCACTAAAAGTATCGGGAATGGAATATTTCCACTGTTCCTGTCATATTAAAATCTTTTTAATTGAAAACCCCTTGGTTTTAAAAATCGAATACCATTTATTTATTTAAAAAAAGATTCTCGGTCTTGCCACAAGGTTTTGTCAAACTTGTTTAGTCGTTGAAAAAATGGAATTGACTCGAGAAAATTCAAGAGCGATGATTTATTATGACTTTCGAAGTGGTTTAACACAAAAACAGTGTGTTGACCGGATGATTTCTGCATTTGGTGATGAAGCCCCATCCAAAACCACAATTTATCGCTGGTTTGCTGAATTTCAACGTAGGTGTCAAGCTCAGTGATGATCCCCGTCAAGGTCGTCCAAAAACTGCAGTCACCCAAGAAAACGTTGATGCTGTCCGTAAGCTGATTGAGGAAGATCGACACGTGACATACCGCGAAATTTAGGCAACTTTAGACATTGGCATGAGTCAAATACAAATAATCTTGCATGAACAATTAGGTGTAAAAAAGTTGTTTTCCCGATGGATACCGCATTTGCTCTGTGAAGAGCAAAAAGCGGCTCGCGTTACTTGGTGCGTCAGAACTCTCGAAAGATTACACGCAGGATACTCAAATGCTGTATACAACATCGTATCAGGTGACGAATCCTGGATATACGCGTACGAACCCGATACATAAAACCAGTCACGAGTTTGGGTGTTCGAAAATGAGTTAAAGCCAACAAAAATTGTTCGTTCACGGAGTGTTACAAAAAAAATGGTGGCCACGTTTGTCTCCAAAACCGGCCATGTTACGACTATTCCTCTTGAGGGATAAAGAACGGTTAATGCAGAATGGTATGCTAGCATTTGTTTGCCACAGGTCGTTTCTGAACTCCGTAAAGAGAACTGCAACCGCCGCATCATCCTCCATCACGACAATGCGAGTTCTCACACCGCACACAGAACAAAAGAGTTTTTAGAGCAAGAAAACATAGAATTATTAGACCATCCACCGTACAGCCCCGTCCTAAGCCCTAATGATTTCTATACTTTCCCTAAAATAAAGAATAAATTGCGTGGACAGAGATTTTCATCACCTGAAGAAGCTGTGGACGCCTACAAAACGGCCATTTTGGAGACCCCAACTTCCGAATGGAATGGTTGCTTCAATGATTGGTTCCATCGTATGGAAAAATGTGTCAAATTTCGCGGAGAATACTTCGAAAAGCAATAAATACATTTTTAAATAGTAATGTTGTGTCACTTCCTTGATTCCCGAAATTTTCAGTGCCGCAAAAATTAACACAAGGTTGCTCAAAACTCCGATGCGCCTCAAAACAGCAATTTCACTATTGCTCAGCAAAAAAATGTGTTATAACTAAACAAAACAAAATTAAACTGCCATTTACATTCCATGGCTTCCCACATGATAGATGAAGAGTTAAAAAATAGATTAACTTGAACAATTATCGCCTGCATGCAGACTTGATAAATCTACACCTTATGCCACTAAAACAACTTTTTTCTGTAAAATAGCAATTGATAAGTTCAACAATCATTTATCTTTCTGACAATGTGCTTTTTATAACATTTATATGTTCAAAATGATTGTTAGATACTATTTCATGCGACAAAACGTTGGAATCTTGCTTTTTAGGCGCTTCTAGAACATACCTACGCGCTTTGCGAAGAGAAAAAAGAAATAAAATATGCCCAATGTAATCCGTAAGTTTAAATGCTTATTTCATTTTAAAAATACAAATTGGAAATTGAATGTTAAGGTAATCGAGCGGTTGTGATCGGCTGGTTGTGGAATTCATCACCTTAGGCTCCGTGAGCGCGTAGCTTTTCCTCATGCCGACTATTAAATTCATACCTCACAAAGCATATTAAAAATTATGAGAGCTTGAAGTTAAATCTACCTAATTAAAAAAATACCAAATTTGAAAACGAATTTTGACAGTTAATTTATAGGCTGATGATGAATTCGGTAGTAATATCGCGTTCGCGAGCACCTTGATTTAGATCCCCGCTAGCACCTCTGATATTTCGGATCGGAAATTATTTATTTAAAACGTGCACATACGAACGTACAAGTTATTTTCATGTCTTTTCTGTGGTCCGGATTATTCCATTATCTGCTCGAGACCTGTCTTTTGCCGTGGGACGAATGTAGACAATTACTTTGAAAATAACTATTACGATTACAAGAGACAATAAATAATACGAAAAATTAAGTATGGTTTCGTTTAAACAACGTGTGATACATGTTGTTAGAAGTGAGAAGATATTTATATTATTTTTATAATTATTAACAATAATTTATATGGTGGTACAAACCTGCATCTGCACGGACTGACAGTTGACGAACTCGACGCTGGCGACGAGATGATCGAAGACGACGGCGCACTTGGTGCACGAGTCCAGTACCACGCCGTTGATCTTGCCGCGGACCGTGAGCGCCGAGTCGCGGCACCGGTACATGTACACCACGTTGTTCATATCCGCATTCTCAACCACCAAGTTCGAGTTGCCCTTTTGGTACTCCTGTTGACAAATGAAACAATTATATTACTATAAAAATACTATTATACACTTAAATGTACTATCAATTTACTGGAAAAGTAAATTTAAAACAAAAAAAACCAACTGCCTAAAAAGTGAACTTTATAAAAGATGGAGACTAGATGATCATTTCTGTCTCCAATCCCACAGTCCATAAGCACACCCTACCCTGTGCTCATCGGCTAGTTGTTCCAAAACTTATTCTGTGGAAAGTACTATTCGTGGTCTCACCGATTGAAGCAGTAAAGACAATCTTCGTTCAACTGCATTACTGTCCTTTCGGAAAAAAAATTCAAAAAAAAATTGGAAGCTATTTAGCATGGAATCTACTTAAATGAAATGTTTCAGTCTTGATATTATCAGAAAATTTACTATGAACTTTATGACTATGAAACTTTAAACTATAAACAATCTAATACAGTTGGAGGCAATAGGTCTCTTTTGTGAAATTTAAGAAGAAAAAAAATGAAAAATAGTTTCATAAAGTAGACATACAAACCAAAAGTATAACAATTGCGTTTTATTTTATGACTAAAACGCAATTGTTATACTTTTCGTTAATAGTCTTAATTGTTGAAACATAAGCATTGTTAAAGTTTTGTTTGTTTGTGTGTACAAAGAAAACTTGATGAAAACAATAGAAGTAAAGAACTGTTGAGCCCACTGGGGTTGTCTGGTTACTGTGACTCTTTTGTGTATCGTGTCCTCGAAATTTGAAATGTAAGTTTTCAAAGTCCTAAACAAAGATTTATGATTTATTAATTAATGTACGTGTAAGTTTGACTCACAGAAATCTAAATAATTCTGTGGTTGAACAAATGTGATTTAGTTTTTCGACTTTTAAAATATCCGACCATAGAGCATTTCTTGTTGCTGCAGTGCTTACCTCTGCTGTAAATAATAACTGACGCTGCACTTACAGAAAGATTCATAGAAACGTAGATCATGTTGTCATTTTTTTTTAAATTAAAAAATATAGTCACATTCATAATTTAAACATGAGAGTTTTACACATACAATACACCTCTTATCGATTTCTAGTACGACGGCAACTTCTGATAATTAACGGCATTGATGAACTAGGCGGAATACATGCCGTGAAAAAATCGGCACGGCCGTACCATCCTTTTCCCATTTTCCTTGGCCATTTTCGAAACCCTATAACTTCGTTGTGGATAAAACTAGAAGCCTGAATTTTCAGTAACCAAGCATGCATTGTATAAACACGGCACATTTCAAATTTCATTCAATTTGAACCAGTAATTTAAGAATTATAACTAGTCAGAGTTTCTTAATTTTGTCACTCACTGACTGACCGATTATCAAAACTCTAAGGCACTTCTAGCAGACGTAGAAGCTTCATATTTAAAATACAACTCGAGTTTAGTGTATGAATCAAGGAAAAACTAAAATATTTTGTTATTTCGGTCCAGTTTTCTAGATACACCAACTGCATAAATAACTTTGTAATGCTATATATTTATATAGGATTACAAAGTTACATTTGCAGTGGATGAATCAGTGTACCTATATATTATGTATAATATAATGGAATAATAAATGTAGATAAGTACCTAGATATCATTATGTTCAAAGGCAACTTGTAAAATGGTCAACGGAATGAAAAAGCAAGAATGGGACATGTCTTATGAAGTTGTATCAAAATCCCGCAAAGTATTAAGTAGACTAAATTGCCCGAAAATACGTAGTTGGTATTCAAGAAGTAGATGGTATCGGAAAGGTAAAAAATATAGGACTATCTACAAAAAGAAATGAGATGCCATCAAAAATATAATATTTTCTTTTATGTTTTAAATACATAGATTGAGTTGGCAATCGCACAAAACAATCTAATTTAAATTTAATTCTATGTAATTATATTTCTCTAATGTGGAAACTATTTCATTCTTTTTACTTTTTGAAGTTGGTTTTTACTTTATGTTAAAAGTTTAATTTTAAAGGGTTGCTTATTACCTTGCTACATATATATTTATCTATGCTTATTACTAAATACAGTGACACTTCAATGAATTATCAAACGAAACAAAATTCGTACATTACTCAAAATTTGAAATTAAGTTTTGTTCGGAACTTAACATTAAATATTTTACCTGTGCTTTAATTAAGTGTAACCAAAATATTATGTCGGCTGAAATTCCAAACTAATAACCACAACTCTCAATAACGCTAACAACTTAACTTCGTATTTATTTATTGTAAGATATTATCCTAATAATCTAAAGATTATATTTTGACTTAGCGAGGGTCGGTTGTGTAAGCAAACAAGTACATAATCTCTGTTGTTTTGGCGGATTTCAATGGTTTATACCCAAGGATTATAGTCAGAGATCCCACCAAGGGGTTACTATGCCCCTTTATCTGTTTTCTACAAATACGGACAAGGGTTGTGCGAAGACAGACGCGAATCATAATAATTGGCTGGATAAAAAAAATCACTAAATTACTTGCACTGAAACCGTGTAAAACCTATCTATACAAATAAATAAAATTGAAGTGTCTGTTTATAATGTCAAATTAACAGCTTTATACAAGTATATACGGTACTTATAACAAAAAAAAAATATTTTTTTGTCTGTGTGTCTGTTTGTTCCGGCTAATCTCCGAAACGGCTGAACTGATTTCGACGGGACTTTTAATGGCAGATAGCTGATATTAAATGAATAACTTAGGCTTCTTATATTTTAGAAATAGAATTAGGATGTCGCGCAGAAAATTAAAACCTATGAAATCTAATCGCTATAAAATCCACGCGGGCGAAGTCGTGGTGAACAGCTAGTATCAAATGAAAAAGCTTATTAGTTGTTAGTGATCATTGAAAACATATTTTACAAATCCGTTTATATCTTAAGAAAAATATAAAACCGACAAATAAGCAATGAACATCTTTGAAGTTTGTTTCGATGTAGATTGCTTTTAGCGATAACACCGCCCATTGTACCACCACATTTATTTTTTCTCCTTTTTGTTCATATTCAGTACCTTTTTTTCTCATTTCCACAGCTTCAGTACTTATTCTCCCGACAATTGCAAGGAGCCTTAAAGCCTTAGCCTTAAAATACATACGTTATGAACGTATAACTTTAGCAGACATTGATTTCACCTCGTTGAATAGAGGTTAAGGCCATAAAAGTGGCAACCGAGACTTTTTAAGTTCTTTTCATAATATCTTGTGATATTTTATTTAAATAAACGGGAACAAAACAGTTCACGAACGAAATCATTAAACTTATTTTACAGATCTTATCGCGTATAATTGAACATATTTTTACTTATTTTATTCAAAACGTTTCGACGACAAACAGTCCCGATGTCAGAGTTAACTTTTATGGTCCGAGAGCTCATGACGCATTTTTCATGAAGTGTTTGATGCATCATGAAACTTTGTTTAAAGGTATCAGTCGACTCAATAAGCAGGTATATGACTGTCTGCCTGGCCTACCTGGGTACACCTGGTACTGCGCATACAGTTAAGTCGAAAAAAAATTTGCCCAAAAAAAAGTGTTTGATTCAAATAATAATAATGACTATCCGTTAGCTAAGTTTATAAACAATTAAGAAAAAAAATGGCAGACACTTCTGAAGGGGTTTACATAGGGGCAGACGACCACAAAGTTGTATTTTCAAAAATTCCAAAAAAAGTGTTTGATTCAGTCTGCCATTTTTACAGCGTGTTTATTATGTATAATAAAATATTCTCACAAAAAGGCAGACAGTTTCTCCGGGGGTTACTAATTTAAAAATCTATACAAATAAATAATCACTTTTTAAATGGTCCATATTTCCTATCATAATAATTAATACATCTGTATCACATGATTTGATAAGTACATTGACAGCAGAATCCGATTCCAATTGACAAACATGAAAATAATTATACTTTTTTAAGATTATTTAAATAGCTGCTGATAAAATAAAAAGCTGTTCCCCGCGACTTCGCCCGCATGTAATTTAGGGTTTTATTTTTTTTGCGCGGTACCCTAATAATTTTTTTTAAATTTAAAAGCAGCCTAAAATACTCGTTATAACATCAATTATCTGCCAGTGAAAGTCCCGTCAAAATCGGTCCAGCCATTTCGGAGATTAGTCGGAACAAACAGACAGACAAAAATTTTAAAAATTGTGTTTTTGTTATAAATATCGTATATAATGTCTTATGCGTTTAGTAAAAAATTGTTATTTTGAAATTAAAAACAGACATTTAAATTTTATTTATTTGTATAGATTTTTAAATTAGTAACCCCCGGAGAAACTGTCTGCCTTTTTGTGAGAATATTTTATTATACATAATAAACACGCTGTAAAAATGGCAGACTGAATCAAACACTTTTTTTGGAATTTTTGAAAATACAACTTTGTGGTCGTCTGCCCCTATGTAAACCCCTTCAGAAGTGTCTGCCATTTTTTTTCTTAATTGTTTATAAACTTAGCTAACGGATAGTCATTATTATTATTTGAATCAAACACTTTTTTTTGGGCAAATTTTTTTTCGACTTAACTGTATGCGCAGTACCAGGTGTACCCAGGTAGGCCAGGCAGACAGTCATATACCTGCTTATTGAGTCGACTGATACCTTTAAACAAAGTTTCATGATGCATCAAACACTTCATGAAAAATGCGTCATGAGCTCTCGGACCATTAGTCTGATCTACACAGAACGAGCTTACAGTATTTTGAAGTCACCGCCACCATGGTTAGCGCGTGCTGAGGTCTACAGACATCTACATATGTCCTCGAATAAGAATTAAAATGCAGATGCGTTGTCATCCTTGAAGACTAAAATGGAATGCCTCGTTAACAGAAAAAGGGTCTCCAGTTTTTGTAATTTATAAGGAACACACCTTTATTATGCTGCTATTTCATGCTGGTATTCTATGAGATCGCGGTCCTGCCCTGGTCGAGCGGCCCATACGTGCTTTAGTTATAATACATGTAATATATAATACGCTACTGCGTGGCTCTACTACGCTGTTGAAAAATGTTTGTTTCTATCAATAAAGAAAATGCTATTAAACTCGCAACCAATTCTTGGCTTTTCCTTGATTTATAACACTAGAGCAAATAATTTATACAGTTTATATCTTACACTGCCATGATCTTGTGTTTTTTTATGTTATTGAAAAAGAAATCGGTGAAGATGTGGAGGAGGAAGCAGGAAAATACGGTATGATTAAATAAATTTTTCATAGGTATAATCCGTCCATGTTGCAGATGTCACTCTCGGTAGTCCAGCTCCGACATTCGTCGGAATCGGGAAAATCGAGGAAATCGGGAAACATACCGTAAAAAACCTAGTTTTAAATTTCTTGCAGCCCGGATATCCCTTTACTGTCACATATTAATTATTTTGTGTTAGGAAATCACTGTCGAAATGTATTTTAACGTTATTTAAATTTGAATGTGATTTATTTTTATAGGATAAGGATAACCGAGCACACACTCTACCTGATGGTAAGTATCTGCTGTGGCCTATAGACATCTACATCTATCCTCGTTTACGAATCAAATTACATATGCGTTGTCAGCCGTGAGGACTAAGATGGAATGCCTCTTTTACAGTAAAATGTGTCTTCGGTTCTCTACACCATACGAAACACAGCAGCATTAAGCTGCTATTTTACGCTAGTATTCTGTGAGAGCGTGGTCCGGTGGTAATAAAAAGAAACTACATGACTTTCCAATTTGTTCAAAAACTTTTCATAATATGTAGTAATAAAGTTTCAAGTTCCCGCGAAAACCTCTATTAATGAATGTATTAAATACTTTTTAACATAGATTAATGATAAGTCATCGCGCGCTCTGACTAGATACCGCGCTATCTGAATAAACAGTTCCGTGAATGCAGCATTTAATATTATAGTGTGTATAAGACAATTTGCAAGATGCTAGTGTGCGTGAAAAATTGTATATGCCAGCAGCTTAACTATTACCCGATTAACGGGAATTTTTTTTATGCTATGGCTTAGTAGTTAAGTTCATAGTTATGAATGTATTCCAGAAATACTTAAAAATTAATAGTTTATTAATAACGAATGTATCAATATATTATGTATAGGTTTTTCTTCTGAATAATTGACATTTAAATGATAAGGCCTCCTTTTTATCAGTTTATTTTTTTTATTTACATGTCTAACTAATATTCACAAATTATTTACAAAATTGTTATACACTCTGTGTCAAAAAAATCACACATCCGAAAAAAATAATTTAAATACTATTTTAACACAACAGGCCAATGGCAATGTTGTGGTTTGAGGGTATCATTCGAAAGGTAATTTCATTAGCTTTCAGGAATTTTAATTGAATTTTACTTTTATAACGAGACGAAAGAGAAATTAAAGAAAAAGACAGGGTATGTACAAATTTGCAAATTAATAATTTAAAAAAAAACTTAATAAATATAAAAAAAGTTCTTAAAACCTAGTGTTACTCCCCCTTGCCTTGATAACGGCTTCCATGCGATCTTTCATGGACCTTACAAGGGTCGCAACAACCTCTTGCGGTATTTGTTCCCACTCTTCAAGTACCGCATCTTGAAGCTCTTGAAGAGTGGTTGGAGCTGGATCTCGAGCTCGCACGCGACGTTTTAGGTCATCCCAGAGATGTTCTATTGGGTTAAGTTCTGGACTTCGTGCTGGCCAATGCATAACAGGGATATCGACCTCCTGTAAATAATCCCGTACAATAGCCGCGGTGTGGCAACGAGCATTATCATGCATTAACATGAATCCATCACCGACATAACCAACATACGGGACCACATGTTCCTCCAGGATTTCAGTAATGTACCGACCAGCATTTAATGACCCTTGCTCACGGCCACCCCGAGTCCGGGAAACGCACACAAGTTCCGTTTTCCCGTCGACGGAAATGCCGCCCCAAAACAAGCAGGGTTGTGTGATCCTCTCCCCCTGTCTTCTGTAGACCCTTCTACATCTGTCATTGCAGAAGAGACAGACCCTCGTCTCATCAGAGAAGAGTACGGTCCGCCACTGTTCTAGAGTTCACTCGCAATGATTGCGAGCAAACTCTAGGCGATCTCTGCGATGCTGTGCAGTAAGTTTTGGACCTTTAGCAGGTCTAAGGGCTGTTAAACTCTTTTAGTGTAACCTTCTTCTTATCGTAGAAACACTCACAGATGTTCTCCGAGTTGATCGAAGCTGTTGTTGCAACTCAACAGCATTTGTAAAACGGTTTCGTAAAGATGTCGTAACGATGAAACGGTCATCTCTTTCTGATGTGCACCGTTTTCTTCCAGATCCCGGTTTTCTAACATAACCACCAGTCTGCTGAAAACGTTGGAACACCCGTCGAACTGAAAAACGGGACAGGTTCAACTGTCGATCAACGTCACACTGCCGCGTCCCCGACTGCAATAGGGCAATCACTTGAGCGGCTTCTTCAGAGCTGGTGTCCATCTTTACTTGTTCTTACTTGGGTTACTTGTTCACGTGTGTTTACTGCAAAGTCTAAATTACGACTGACCCATATTTCATCCAGATCGACCCTTTTATACCCTTTTTAGGTGGTGTAACTAGCGTCCTTACTAACGAGCATTTGACAGTGTTTATTTTTGACGCTCTATAATGATAAATGTTTTAATGATTTCATGATTTTTTTATTAATAATGTAAAGCTATTCAAATACCCATTTCAAACATACCAATATTTATATAAATATAATTCGTTTCTAGCCATTACAGCCATTTTTCGCGCAAACTCAGAGAGGTGCGATTTTTGTGACGCTGTGTGTATATATGGTGTAATCAAAATAGTGCTTTCTATTCTACGCGTCAATATGAACAACTTTTACTATAATAATAATAATAATAATAATAATATTGCCGCCTGATATTGTGCTGATGGACCGGGCACAGTCAAGGATATTTTTGGTCGACATTACCATTCCTTATGACGAGAACCCCGTGAAAGCCGAAACAGATAAGCTGACAAAATATCTGGACCTGGCTCACGAGGTGACCGACATGTGGGGTGGTCTGCCGGCTGAAATTATTCCTGTGGTCGTTTCTGCGAACGGGTTAATCCCAGTTAGCCTCTCGGGTCATCTGAGGCGACTGGGACTCCGTGACGGACCGCTCCAAGCTCAAATGCAGAAGGCGGTGCTCCTCGAAACCGCCCGCATCGTCCGCCGATTTCTTTCCCTTTCCCCCTAACCCTCGGCCGTTTGGTCTCCCCTGCCGAGGGCTTCCATCTGGTTGGGTTTGTATATATTTATGTATTTTTTATGTATTTATTCTATTTTATTGATATTTATGTATGTTTATATATTTCGTTTACAATTATATATTTAAACAGCCCAACCAGATGAGAAAACTTTATAGATAACCCCCATAATAATAATAATATTCCACAACTACCAAACAACGCCATCTAGTCCCAAGCTAAGCAGAGCTTGTGTTATGGGTACTAGACAATTGATAAACATACTTATATATTTCTAAATACATAAATATTATAGATAAATTACACCCAGACACAGAACAAATGATCGTGCTCATCACACAAACATTTGTCCTGGGTGGGAATCGAACCCACGACCTCCGGCGTAGCAGTCAGGGTCACTAACCACTGGACCAACAGGCCAGTCTAAACTCCAACTATAGATCTATCTTCCAAATCGCAAGAAAAATCAGGTCTTCCATACATTTTGAGCAAGTTTGTACGAAATTTTGTATGGAATAACTGACTGAGATATTTTTTATTGAGATATTATAAAATATAGTAACAATAAATTCACATATAAAAATCTCAGCCACGGGGAACTTTATTTTTGCATTCGCGGCAACAATGAATAGCGTCATTGATATTTTGTGACTTATTTATGGCTCGTGTTATTTTATGTTAAAATTTCGAAATTGTATGATACCTAATGATAGTATGTGATTCCAGTGTCTTTTTTATTTCTTGTAGTATTATTTTTATACAGTTTCAATACGTAAACTGGTATTTTACTTCGGATTATGATCAAAATTTAATAATACATTCGGTACGTTCACCTCACACGTTGCCTGCAACGCGACTGGCTTGGGTACGCCGATTTCGGCGTAGTATTTGTTGCCGCATTTTACATGAGCGCCGGCAGTATCTAGTGAGAGCGCGCGATGACTTATCATTAATCTAAGGTTTTTAAATATGAATGTCATTAATATAAAGGCAGTATGGACTTACGATGAGCCACTTCTTGCCGTCGCGCGTGAAGACGGGCGGCTTGTCGAGCTTGCCGGCGCCGGGCTGCGGCAGCGGCTTGGCGGGCGCGGCGGCCGCGGCGGGCGCCTGGTGCGCCGCCTTGAACGGCGCCGGGCCCTGCCGCAGCGTCGGGTTCTTGTGCGTCTGCATGTCCGCCGTCACCCTGCGCAAGTCTACGGACAAATGGACACGCACATGCTATACCAAACTTAGTATAATATTTATACACCATTATTTTGCAATATGTGCCCAAATTTGCAGACAAGGTTCACAAGAAATATTATAGGCGAATAGTGAAGAAAAATTAATTACAATCAAACATTCATCCTTTTTTGTCTTTTAAATTCAGAATGCGTGGAATGCATTATTTTAACAGATTGTCTTTCATAATAAATAATATATTAACTAATAAATAAAATTTGGATACTATTTCAATAATAACCTCGTATCATCATTACAGCCTTTCATAAGTCCACAGCTGAACATAGACCTCCCCCAAGGAATGCCACAAAGCACGGTCCTGAGCCACCTGCATCCATCGACTTCCTGCATGTCTTACCAGGTCGTCACTCCATCTCGTGGGGGGTCGCCCTACACTTCGCCTACCGGTACGAGGCTGCCACTCAAGAACCTTTCTTCCCCGTCGGTTGTCGGTTCTTCGAGCTATATGGCCGGGCCACTGCCACTTCAGCTTACTAATCCGTTGGGCTATGTCGGTTACTCTGCTTCTACTGTGGATATTCTCATTCCTAAGTTTATCACGCAGAGAAACTCCGAGCATAGCCCTCTCCATAGCTCGCTGAGTGACCTTGAGCTTCCTCATACGGCCAGCAGTGAAGGACCACGTCTATGATCCGTAAGTCATCACTAGCAACACGCACTGGTTGTACAATATCGTTTTAAGGTTTTGAGGTATGTCTGACGAGAAGATGTGTCGTATCTTCCCGAACGCTGCCCAGCCGAGTTGAAACCGTCGATTGACCTCTCGGTCGAAGTTGGACTTCCCTAGTCTGACGATTTTTTTCCCAGGTAAACATACTCGTCAACAACTTCGAGCTTAGTGCTCCCAACAACTAACGGCATAGGTGTGACATGGACATTAAACATAATCTTTGTTTTGTCCATATTCATCTTAAGACCTATCCGTTGGGAGACACTATTGAGATCATTGAGCATAGTGTTTAGGTCCTCCAGCGATTCTGCCATAAGGACTATATCGTCGGCAAATCGAAGGTGAGTGATGTACTCGCCATTGATGTCAATACCGTATCCTTTACAGTCCAGAAGTTTGAAAACGTCTTCCAATGCAGCGGTGAAGAGTTTAATGGGGTTATAACGTCACCCTGTCTTACACCTCCCTGCAATTGGACAGGTTTTATACTCTAGTTCTGTACTCGGATAGCCATCGTAGCCCTACTGTACAAGCACTTCAGCACTTCGATATACCGACAGTCAACTTGGCACCGCTGAAGGGACTGCAGCACCGCCCAAATTTCGACGGAATCCAAAGGCTTTCTCATAATCCACATACCCAAGACAAAGTGGCTGATTGTACTCGTCGGTCTTCTGTACAATTTGCCGAAGGGTATGTATGTGGTCTATGGTGCTAAAGCCCTTTCGGAAACCGGCTTGTTCGGGAGGCTGGAAGTCGTCAAGTCTGCCTGCGAGACGATTCGTAATGACTCTCGAAAACAGCACGTAGACGCGGCTCAGAAGGGAAATCGGTCTGTAGTTCTTCAAGAGAGCATTGTCATCTTTCTTGAAGAACAAGACCACCGCACTTCTGCTCCACGACTCCGGTGTAATGCCACCATGGAGGACGGAATTAGAGCCTCTGAAGGACTTCCAGTACCGGTTTTCCACCCGCTTTCAGAAGCTCCGCTGTAATTCCATCTTCGCCTGGGGACTTGCCGTTTTTAAGATACTGGGGAGTCATTCTAATCTCGCTCAGACTGATGTCCGGGATATCTTCGGAATAGTGTCGGATACGACTCGCTCTTGGATCGTTACTCACACTTGTGTGTGGCTCCAACGATGACATGTACAGCTGTCCATAGAACCTCTCAATCTCACTCAAAATCTCAGGTGCCCCGGAAACGATGCTGCCACACTCGGTCTTCAGCTTTGACAGTTGGCTCTTTCTAGCAGACAGATCTCTGGCAAAGACTTTGGAGCCTTGGTTCCGCTCGATCGCTTCTTCAATACAAGCTTTATTGAAGTTGCGTTTTTTTTATAGGATAAGGGTGACAAACGAGCACACAGTCCATCTGATGGTAAGTGGCTGCTGCGGCCCATAGACATCTATCTTCTATTACAAATCAAAATGTAGATGCGTTGTCACCCGTGAGGACTAAGATGGAATGCCTCATTTCCAGTAAAAAGGGCCTCCTGCTACCTGCACTCACCAAGCGAAATGCAGAGGTAAACCTCTACTTCACGCTGGTTTTCTGTGAGGTCGTGGTACCACCCCGGTTCTAGCCGGCACATCCGTGCGACAGCAAAAGCTGCCGCGTGGCTCTACCACTGTTAAAAAGTATGTAAGTATGCGTAAGTCCCGCCGCATGCATTTGGAGATCTGTCTGTTCAGTTGCCTGTATGCTGTCAAATCTGTTGAAGAATGTAGCTTCATCTCCCGTCTAACAGCCATGAGATTAAGAGTGTGATCGAAGTTTTTGTGTTCTTCTGCGGCGGGTTTTGCAGAACTTAGCTCCGACCGCATAGACAGTTTCCACGAGCTTGTCATTCATATCGTCCACTTCATTGCAGTCTTCTAGGCACTGAAAACGGTTTTGTAACTCGAGCTGAAAGGTTTCAGGACTTTGGAACAGAGCACGAGGGGGACGGAGCGTTGACTTCATTAGACGAGACCTCTCCAACTTAACGTTTAGGTTCAGTGTGCCTCTAACCATTCGGTGATCGCTGCCGGTTTTCACCCTCGCGATCACTGAGACATCACTGAACAGTTGTCGTCTGGTCGTCATAATGAAGTCAATCTCATTTTTTGTCGAACCGTCGGGGCTCGACCAGGTCCACTTCCTGTGGGGCCGCTTCTGGAAGAATGAGTCCATCATAAAGAGTCCCTCTTTCTCTATGAAGTCGGCCAGCTGCTGGCCCCTTGGGTTCCGTTGCCCTATTCCAAATTTCCCTACTTTCAGCTCACCATTCTCTCTTGTACCTAATTTTGCATTGAAGTCTCCCATTAACACCGTATATTGGGTTTTGGAGGAATGCATGGCTCTAGAGATATTCTCATACATTTCCTCCACCTCCTCATCAGGGTATGCCGAGATTGGTGCGTAAACCTGTATGACCTTCAGCGAATACCGTTTGGTGATTCTGAGTATAAAGTACGCAACCCTCGTCGATACACTCCCGATCTTTACAACGTTGTTAAAGAGAGACTTGTGGACGATAAATCCGACACCTCCTTGGGACAAATGGTCGCCCTCCCGGTGATAGAGCAAATTGCCGGATTCGAGGATTACCGTGTCCTCCCCCTCTCTTCGGACTTCGGATAATCCTATAATATGCCAGCGTAACTTGTCTATCTCTTCTTCCAGCTCCACGATCTTCTCGTCAGTCCTCAGGGTGCGTGCGTTGTACGTTGCCAGGTCGAGTCGTCTAAGGTGGCAACCGAATCTCCACCAGAGATTCTTAGCACCCCCTGCCCCGCCGTTACCATGGTCGCCACCGTAGCCAGGAATAACCTCGTATAGTATAGTTAATATAGTACTTATAAAAACATAAGATGATGTGTGATGGAAAGAGTTTCTCGAAGTGAAAACTTCTTGGAATCGTTGTGATTTGAAATTCAATAAAACGAAAAAACGGCACTAAAAAGAGACAAACATATACATCTATAGGATTTAACCTGCGAGAGATTGAGATAAAATACGGTATACAGTGTTTTTATAGGAGAGGGGGCAAACGACCATACGGCTCACCTGATGGTAAGATGACTACCGCCGCTCATACACAACTGCAACACCGAGGGAACTGTATGTGCGTTGCCGGCCTTTTAAAAAAGAGTAAACTCTTTTGTCTGTTTACAGTGTTTCCTATTATCTCGATCTATTTTTTTGAGGGTTTCACTTCTACCGCGTGTGAACTACACACGTTATTTATTATAGCATTTGTAATTTATAGTCAACAAAGAGATGGATATGTCGTCGACAGATTGTATGATTCGTCACTATACAAACGGCGTCGTCTGTTTGCAAACGCTCGCTGGTTTGTGAAATGCCGAAGGCAAATTGATATGTCGTAATCCGATCGCAGAAATGAGCAGAAAATATATCAGTGTTCTATATACCTAATTTATATAATTTGTAAATGTATGTGGTACTATATAAATTATTCCTCCCTCTCCCGCCATTATCGATCAATTAGACGCTCGGCCGGTATCCACCTATTTCTTGATGACATACCGCAGATTCGAACCAAACCGTTTAATTCGTCGCTAGTAATGCGTACAGCATAGTAGTGAAATAATTTGCCATAATATGTCTTTTCATTCGATTGCTATGTGGGTGTCTTCAATAATGAATATGTTTTTAAGCTAAGTCAGTGCGCTTTGCCATCTTAGGCTGCATCACCACTTACGTTAAGGACTGACTTATAATAGTTAAAAGAAATACGCTAATAAAAGTTTTGCTGCCAACATTGATCTCTAAACATTTTTGGATTATTATTTTCTTTCTGTTTTTAGCAGACTTCAAAAAAAGTAAAGTATTCACAATTCGAGTGTGTATTTTTATATGTATGTTAAGCGTAATATCTTCGTTCACAGGGTTAGTCCTATATAAATTTGGGGACAAATGACTTAAATTAATTTGAGGATGAAATTTTTAATGTAACATTTAAACATGGAGATTGTGATATTTATTAGTTCACTCAAAAGGGTTGAAATAATAACATAAAAAAGTAAAAGCCGACTTCAAAGAACTTTAAAGAATAAAATAATTTCACATTCTGAGGTCAGGGTTTAATTCTTCTATACACTATGCCTTAGCATCGACTGCAGAATGTGAAATTATTTTGTTCTTTTTAGTCCTTTAAAGTCTGCTTTTACTTTTTTAAGCTAATTTATCATTGATGGCGTAGCAATGTCCCCCAGCATACAAGAAACCCGAGCTAACTTCTGTAATACAGAATATGCTTACGGCTAGTGATGCCTTCGCCCTGGTTGATCTCCGCAAAGAGGGCGCTGCGGTCGTCAATGGACATGTTGGCGAAGTCAGCCTCCGGAAGCATGGGCGGTGGCGGCGGCAGCCCGCCGGCCGGCGGCGGCGGCGGAGCGCCAGCGCCCGCGCCTGACCCTGTTTGTATAATTCATTGTTTTATTTACCTATTCCAATAATTATACTCATTATTAATAATAAGTCGGGGAATAAGTTTCTTCGTATTTTATATTTTTTGTATAAAATAGAAGAAAAATCTCTTTGGTTGTATTGTTTGTATCTGGCTGGTTTTAATATCAATATATTTAGGACATTAAGGAAAAGAAAAATAAAAAGTTAGAAACACTTTCCCGACATTTTACAATTGTTTTTCTGTCCGCCAAAATGAGTGAATCTAACGAAGAAATTCGATACATTCTGAAGTTTTATTACAAAAATGGGATAAATGCGACTCAAGCCGCGAAAAAAATTGTGACGTTTATGGACATAATGCAGTGTCAGTTAGAGTAGCACAAAGTTGGTTCAAGCGTTTTCACTCTGGGAATTTTAATGTCAAAGATGCAGCTCGCTCTGGTCGCACTCATACGGATAAAGTCGATGCCATTTTTGACAAAGTGGAGCAAGATCGGCATATTAGTCGTTACGATATAGCAGAGGAATTGAGGATTGACCACCAAACAGTTTTGACCTATTTGAAAAAGTCTGGCTATACAAAACAACTCGATGTTTGGGTACCACACGAGCTCACTGAAAGTAACCTAATAAATCGTGTACTCATATGCGAATCTCTATTGAAACGATTTGAAACCGAACCATTTTTGAAAAGATTGATCACTGGTGATGAAAAGTGGATCACCTACGACAAGAACGTGCAAAAAGATAATGGTCAAAGGGTAGTCAAGCTCACAGACTGTAACGAATCTCGCAATATCGCGTCAAGGCATCGTTTATTATAAGCTTTTACCGTCGAGCAAAACCATCGATTTAGATCTCTACTGCCAACAACTAATGAGACTCAAGCAAGAAATTGAGAAAAAACGGCCGGAATTGATCAACAGAAAAGGTGTGGTGTTTCATCATGATAACGCCAGATCACACACATCTTGACCACTCAGCAAATATGTGTCAAAACTATTTAGGGTTCCGTAGTTACACAACAAGGAACCCTTGTAGTTTCGCCATGTCCGTCCGTCCGTCCGTCCGTCCGCGGTTTTGCTCAGAGAGCCTAGGTACTACAAATCTGTAATTTGGCATAGTTATAAATAATAATCAATAGAAAACTGTGAAATAAAATCTCAAAAAAAATTTTTTGGTACTTCCCATAAAAGTAAATGGAGGATGATTTTTTTTACCCGTCTATTTCATCATGTGGGATATCGTAGGATAGGTCTTTCAAAAACACTGGGGGTGTGGAACAACACATTTTCGATTCAAGGGTCCGTTTGCGGAATATATAGTTTTAAAGTGGTATTTTTCATTATTTATGTGACCCCCCCCCCCTCTCTACCAAATAACCGCTGTGTTTGGAAATGTAAAAAGTATACAAGTTAGCAAATATATAATGAAGTTAAAAAGAAAACTATCACCGCTAAGTAGAATTAAGAGGTACGAGGGGAACCAGTAATAGTCGACCAACTTATAAAGTGCACTTGGATTAGTAAAAATTTCTTTACAACCCCATAGAAAATGACCTAAAACTATCTACGTTATAACTTTGTTATTGTAAACTGTTAAAAATAAACATTTTATGAAGAAAACGACTTATATGCATTACCATAGCTTTACTTATTCATTTGCGGGAAAGACAGGGTAGTTTTTCTAAATTACTTCTTTCACTTATTTTTTAGTTGGTAGTTATTGTAGGCCTCATTCAAAGTATTCATACAATCATATACCCTCATACAGTTTCATTTGTGACACTCTTGGTTCACACGTTCGATCTCAGGATAATTTAGGGCAGTGGTGGTTTACATGAAGGTTCGTTACGGTATATGTATATCTTAGAGTTGCACTGCCGGGAATTTATAGATAGATAGTCAACTATGATCATCTTTGTACCTTGGCATGTGAATGATTTGATGTAAATTGTATTATTTTCAAAATCGATTTACAATCCTAATTGCCCATAACACACTCACGCTCTGTTCTACCAAGGTTAGCTGATAGATAGCCATATAACATTTCGCTCTTCTTTTGTACAATGTCTTTGGTGCAATAAACAATAAAAGAATAATAATTAGATAGTCCTTATTGACGGTATAACGTTAGAACGTTTCTTAATTAACGGTAAAGTTAAGTAACAGCCTTACTACTTACTACAATTAGATTTTTAAGCAATATGACAAAATCGCTTATTTTTCTACTACCTACGATTTTTTTAAATGTACGTTCATCCCTTAAATTGAAAACCTCCCTAGCTCGGTTAATTTTGACCGGAGGAAAAAATCCTCATAAAATATTTTGTATGTAAAATTTTAAGCTCTACACATTTTTATTAGAACGTTTTTGTCTAATTTTTACCGTTTTCGAATAATTGCGAAAATACACTTTAGAATTTTTTTTCCAACTCTTGACGGGTGTTGCCAACACGAAAACCTTTACACATTGTTTCTGTATTATTAACACTAGGTACATTATATCCAAAATGCAAAGTTGAGTGCAAAAATTTTTATTTCAGACCTTATTTGACTGGACTGTTAAGCATTAACCAATAAAAGTATATGGAGTCAGAAGTGATCTGCTATAATGTTCATTTCAGCTGTATAAATAAATATTTATCCACAATGACAAAAGGATCTATAAACACAGAGAGGTCAGTACAAATCTTCCTTATACAAATAAACTAGTTTCGCTTGATAGAATATTGTCCTTTTTTTCTTTACTCTCATTCCTGTAAAGTAAGAAAATTTGGCGTTGTGCCCACGTTTAAGACATCCATAATACTAGAAACTCAGAAGCATTGTACGCTCAGAAATGAGATACGAAAAAAAAATATAACTTCACAGCACAACAAAAGCAAAATCTAGTATAAGAAAAATATGAGGTCGAAAGAAAGGGAATATTACATAAAACTTATGAGCAATCCCGCCCACGGTTTGTCCTTTGGACACCGCAGCGCCGCCGGGGGAAATCACGTAAATTTTATCAATACGACCGAAATGTATATTAGCGAAGTACTTAAAAAAATAGACAAAATTATTAACGATATTTCGATCTTTTGAATAAGTATAATAAACCGAAACATTTACAACACAAGACGTTTCGAGCAAATTCAAAAATTTCGAATTGTGTATTTTTTATCTGCCAATTAAATATTGTATTAGGTTATTAGCTGTTTAAACATTCAAAAGATAATTAGACTTTTATTGTATTTACAAAGTAAGCACACCAGCGTTTTTGTTTAAATTAATTTTCTCTGATAGCCGTACATACGTTAAGGCAATTAATAACGGTGTAGTTCAACTCATTTTGTTTTAATTACATCTTTGTACCCGTCGCGTCGTAAGAAAAACTTAAAATTTAAAAAAAAAAACTACACACGCTGAAATGAACCGCTTTGGTAGAACCGAGTTATAACACGCAATCATTTGTTCTTCTAATAATACTAAAATAGAATAAAGGTAATAGGACATAATTCCATAAACTTAACGCTGTTTGAATACTTTTTAGCGCGACTGCTCATGTGGTCCCGGGTTTAAATCCCGAGTAGGGCCAAAATAAACAGTTATTGGGTTTTTCTGTCGAGCATTCTCATTCATTCCGGAGTGGAGAAAATTGGCGGTGATTACCCCGTGCGTCATAAAACACGCACAGGCCCTGCACCTGATCTCTCTCCGGTCGTGTCGTAATGCCCTCCCATCGGACTATGAAAGTGAGGGAATACCGAATGCACCTGTGGGTAATGCACACACTAGTGTACTGTAATCCTGTCCTGCTTAGATAGCTAGTCTTCGGTGAGATTGTTCGCCATGGCCGAAATTCGGTCGGGAGGATTAGTAAAACAATAGTTTAAAATTAAAAATTTTGTACAGCCGACTTCAATATAAGTTATTAAAAATAACTCAATAACTATTGGTCTGACCTTGATCAAATTCATATGGGACCACACGAGAAGTATCAGCTTTCAAATAAAAAAAAAGAATCATCGAAATCGGTTCACCCAGTAAAAAGTTATGATGTAACACACATAAAAAAATATACAGTCGAATTGAGTACAGTCTCCTTTTTGGAAGTCGGCAGAAAAAGAATAGGTTCATCATTCTTTTACAACCGAGCCATTTAACATTTTATTGAATAAATAGTAAACACAGTCACTTACCAGACCACACAAGGCCAGTCGTGTGATGCTGCTTAACGTAGGCTTGGAGATCAGACAGGAGTTGTACCCAAGCGCGGCACCATTCCACATGTCTCTTGTCCTTCTCTTTCCACTCCTTTAGAACACGGTTAGTGTAGAATTGCCCTGCGTCGTTCATTTCTTTCACGTAGGGTGCGGGAGTAGGTGATATCGCCACCCAACCAAGAGCAGGAATACTTTCAGAAATCGCCGATAGGTGGTTGAAGAAGGAAGAAACTCGATTTTTCTCTCGAAACTGTTGTATGGCAGAAATTTTGTCACTAGTCGGAGATAACAGTTGCATTTCTTCGGCTTGCGACGGCTTGCCCCTAGATGCCGCCAATTGTATGTAGCGAAGCTGTGCCCTGTTAAAAAATCCCTATGTTAACCTTACCGTAAGATAAGCTAAATAATTAAAAAAATCAGAAGCCCGACTGCGAAAAAGACAATTTAAAAGTAATTTATTTTCTTTCGGTTTATAATTTGCTATTGGGTCCCGCCTGCTATTATACTTAATGCGGGTATTTAACTTAGGCTTTCAGCTCATAATATAGTCTGTTAAACCAAAGTAGAGTTTACTTTGTTTATAGTTTATTTTGATTTTGTTTTCTATTCTCAATCTTGTTTCGGTGTATTTAGTGCATTACTTTTAAATTGTCTTTTTTGCAGGCGGGTTTTTGATTTTTTTAATTATTTATTTTATTTTAAACTTTTTAGTAACTCGGCACACCCTTATGGATTAAATTTCATATATCATTTCACGATATCAAAATCTTTTATTATTCCTAATTAAATTTAAACATATATATATTTATTTTGATCCCTACTCGATAGGTTTGGTTAATTATTTTTTATTAACGTATTACTATTTCGCGCCAAAAATTCGCCATTTTTTTTCAAACAGCTATTGAACACTTGGGTTGTTAAAACGAATATAACGATGCCTTAACTGTCGAAATCCATCCAATAGTTTGGAAGAGGTAATAAAGAAATTTACAAACAAACATACATACATACAAGATACGCGTGAAAAACATAACCCTAACGTGGTAGAGCCATGCTGCAGCTATATTAGTAGTATAGTTGTAGCATGAATGGGTTGGCTCGACCGGGGAAGGACCACGCTCTCACAGAATACCAGCGTAAAATAGCAGCTTAACACTGCTGTGTTTCTTATGGTGAGTGTAGAGAACCGGAGACCCTTTTTACTGGAAAAGAGGTATTCCACCTTAGTCCTCACGGGTGACAACGCATCTGCATTTTGATTCGCAAACGAAGATAGATGTAGATGTCTATGGGCCACAGCAACCACTTACCATCAGGTGGACTGTGTGCTCGTTTGTCACCCTTTCCTATATAAAAAAAAAAAAACCCTTTCTTGGCGGTCGGGTAAAAAGTAAAGTATTCGTCGTAAGTACTATCAATCGTCTATCGTCCGCATCCGTTCGTAAGCAATCTACGCGGAACATGGATCTCTTTTACAGAGGGGAGATTTGCCATTATCAATACCCTTCCGAGACGGATTAGTGATGGCAATATCGGACTGATCGCAATATTAGACCGCTCGCAGCTTTGACACAGTTTCCTGTCGCTGATCTGGAAATCTGTTAATACAAGACGGTTAACCGTCATGTAACGGAGACTACGAAATCTGCGCCTTTTACAACACCCACGTGACCATGATGATGATGATAGTGTATTGGTTCTCTCATAACGCCAAAACACGGTATTCGGCATTGCGTTCATTCTTTCATTACAAGCAAGTTATTAAAAATAATCTCATAAAAAAATTTAATTTGCATTAAGTTAAATGAAATAATATTCACACCATAACAATAATAATCATATCTTATGAACAAATAACACATAATACTTTAACGTAGAATTAAAGATATGATGTACGACGTTTCAACCCCTTTAGCATAACAAAACATGAACAATACATACCCTTACATTTATGTACATACCCCTACCCAATACGTACCCTTTCACGTTACTGCAGAAACCTTGACTTTCTGATTTGTATAGCGTATATACGATCAATATCGAATAAGTAGGATAATAACACTTGAAACAACTTACTGGAAAGCCTCGTTGACAAGTTTGGCATGCGTAGCGACATCTCCGCCGATCTGCTGAGACAGCTCGAGGTACGTCCGCAGGGGACCCTACAAGCAATAGAAGTAATGAAAACACAAGTATCTCTTGGAGTTTGTGTTAAATGCGATAAAACTATTTAATTCTATAGATTTTGACTTGTAAATTGCTGTATTTGTTCAAGTTTAACGTCGATCCATTGTCTCGGGCAATAGATCGACGTCATTATTCGTTACCCATTTTAGTTTTTTTGTCATAAGCAATTCCGAATGTATCGACCTATAGTTGGCAAAAATGAAATTTACTGTTTGTAATTTTTAATGTAATTTTAAGAATATACTTATTATTTTCATAATTCTTACCACCTTTTATTAGAAGTAATGAGGGTGATAAACGAACACACAGTTCATCTGTTCTAAATTAATTGTCTTTTATCCTCAACGTGCTTCACATTCAAAAAGGTCGTATTATCGGTTTTCCTGACTCGGCAAGGTAAACTCAGAAAAACATGAAATGTTATATATATATATATATATATATAGTCCTAAATAATGCACTATGTTGTATCGTATAGACCTTAAAATACTTCGTATTTTTTAAATAATTAAAAATTTATAAATAATTTAGATTATTCAGAAATAAAATGATAAATGTTGCTTTCTTTATTCCATAAAAATATATTTGATAAAAATTACAAAAATATTCTTCAATAATTCGAGTTAAAATCTGTCCAAAGCACTTTATGGAAATACAACATCCAAACATTTTAACTCTCGTAAAAAATTAAATGACATTTACTACTTTATTTACCTACTTTGGTTATAAATTAATATATTAAATGGTTGTCTGGGAGACATGATGTTTGAAGACTTTTATGAGATCTATTCCCGTCACGCTGTCCCAATGACTAAGCTAGACAACCGAAAGTGTCACCTGCAATTCGAACTATACCTATGAAAAATGGACGAAATCATCACCTAGTATTTCTCCGTTTCCTCTTCCAAAACTGAAACGAACAAGGACAATAAAAGAAGGATTATGGCTTATGTCTGCAAATTTATTAGCTGGATGTCGGACGGCGTTAAAACAGAGCTATTTCATTAATTTTATATTGTTCTTAGTTTTATAATAATTCAGAAAAAATAAAACATAGAAACACGGCATTGGTAGATATAGATTGTACTGTAAAACAATTCGGTGTATTCACATCCAGGAAGAAAAACCACAGAAAAACTGAGGAATAAGATGGTAGCATGTCGATCAAACGCCACTCTGATATCCTCTTAAGCCAATTCTGATTTTATCACCACATAGTTATAAGATTATTAAAGTGATGAACATAGTAACATGACGTCCAAAACAACAAATAATGCTTTGTGTTTATTACATTGATAAATCTATTAGTCACTCGCTCCGCTGGGAAGGATAGATAGTCTGATGGCCTTTTATTATTCATCATAAAGATAGGGAGGAGTCATTGTTCGAATGAAACACAGCATCATTAATTTGTTTTTATATATAACAAATTAATGATGCTGTTTTTCATTCAAACAAACATTCATTCACTTATTATTGACTCAATATACACTACTTATAAATTATTATTTTAAAATTGGGTTTATGATTTAGAGTACAAGGAACAAAGTACAAGAAAGTGCAAGAAAGTGCAAAACCTTCCCGAGTGACTTTTTAAATTCCTGACATCTTGACTTGCCATTTTAGATATAGGTACGATACACATAATATAATAATTTCACGCTGTTTCTCAAGCGTAAAATATGTTATCGAAGCAAATGCAAAGCAGTCACGAAACTTATGTAAAAATAATTCATAATTGATTGATTATATAATTCAAATTTAGATCTAATCTAGAAATTTAGATTTACATAGATGCAAGGCGTGGACGACACGTAAATATCCTAACACTGAAACGATTGCGTGTCCTAGTGGTCACAAAACCAGGGGTTCAAATCCTAGTCTAGGCCAATATTTGCACAAAACACAAATTGTTAGTTTTTGGGGTGTGTTTATGTAGTGATTGCCCACGAATTTCTTATACCGCATCCTTACCTATTTCTAAATTTATCGTGTGTTACACCGAGCAAAGATAGGTTACTGAAGTGAGTATCCCAATCAATTTCCTACGTACGTTATTTTTCGATTATTTGGATGTCTTCGCTATGTTATTAAGCCAGGAGAGCATTAAAATCATCATCATTATTATATTTCAGTCTCATCACAGTTATAAGCTATAATTATAATAGCAAATTCCAAGACAATCTTGAAATCAACACTACAGCTGATGATAGAGTTCATGCATGAACTTATTAAAGAAAATATAAAGCAGAAGTTAGATCAAACAGAGCACAAACGGCGTAATAGCGATCACAAAATCAATGACCAAATTCACAATTAGATTGATACCTCTGGAACTGTAATTACAAATTAATTTAATCCAAACATGATGATTACGAAAAATACTCTGAATAATAGAAGGTCCATGCCATGCTAAACAAATTGTTAAAAAAGCGACATAATACCTAAGTGTTACTTTCACCGCGATTGTTTCAAGATCACTAGTAATATAAACTAGTCGTCAAAAAAGGAAATATTTTTTTTTCTCTCAAATGTGAAAAAATTACTTATTATAATCGGTTTTTCTTTAAATGTACTTTAATCATACAGTAATACATTCGGACGATATATTCCTTGATAAGAGCCACTGGTCATTAGATAAGTAACTCAGAAACGATAGCCAGTAAGACATAAGATTGTATGTATAATGTATATAAACATCGAAGCCGCATACCCAAATTGTTGTTCTTGGAATGGATGTCTGTCATAATAAGTTTGTATTATAACAATTTTGTTTACGGTTCCGGATGTATTATGATTATTCTTATTCTCTTCAGATATTAAATTTAGCACGTCGTCGTCGAAATCAAAATTAGCAAAAATAACTCTTCAAAAAAATATAAACGCCAAAATAAAACATCCCTTTCAAAGTAAAATCTAAATCCTAGTCTAAGTTGTGTCGAGATAGAAATTGAATAAATTGTCTTCAAAACAAACATAATAATAATTGTGCTAAATTATTCTCGATCGCTGCTCGCTTGTTGTTGTTATCTAATTGAGTCCACAAAGAAAATTTTACTTCAACAACTTTTTATGTGATAAACAAAACAGGTAACTAAATATTGTTCCTCCCTTATAAATTACTTATAGAATTAAGTTCAGCCTCGTATGTAAACATCGACGTCGCTTCAGTAACCTTAATGTTGTTTGTAAAATTTAATGTCAATTTAAATTATTGTTAAAGCTAATTTATTTGTGTACCTTTTGATTTCTTTATTAGCAAGGAACTTCCGGATACAAATAGTTCCAAAACAGTTATTTTTATAAATACAAAAAAATGTGTTGTTAAGATACCGTTATTTTGAAAACATTCATTAAATTAATTTTATTTGGTTAATCTTAAAGTTGTCTTATACTTCTTATTTTCTTTAAAAAAATTAATATTTCCGGTATCGTGGAGGAAGTTTACATACATAAATTGCACAAGGACAAACTTGTAAGACTTCAACATACAATGAGTTTATTCTATGTAGATCGAGTCAAAATTAAAAGTAGAAGGAGCCCGAGTTAACTATGCCATTAGCAAACGTAAAACATTTTTCAATCCCCTGTGACCAATGGACCATGGTAACTCCATAAGCTTATTCTCAAAAGAAATACAAGTTCTCACTACGAATCTTAATATACACAATAAGGAGAAGAAACAGTACCTAATAAGGAATACAATCAAAGCAATCAGCGCCATATTTCTAGACACAATGTAAACAAACTGTTTGTATAAGGAAGGTTGGTGTCAGCGGAAACACATTGGCAAGATACTTCCGGCTAAAGTAACTGATACCATTTCACTGTAAAGAACATCAAGTTAAACGCACAAAGAACCTTTTTAAATAAACGTAATATGGTTGGAGTTGTTGCAGATTTTTTTAATTATAATAATGTTAAAGAGCAGATTGATGCTACATTTCGTATAGTGAGTAGAGCTGGGAATCATTTTTACTGGTGACGTGGCCACAGCATCCCCTCACGATCAGATAGACAGTGTAGTCGTTTTCACCATTATTCTATAAAATTACTCTAACCTTTGATACAAAGTTTTTATTATTTTCTGCAGTTGTCATAGTATCTTCTATAAATATAATAAATCTATAGAAAATTCGTGCCTGTAATTCTAATATATTCTTGAAAAACAAGTCCAGGGAACTATATAAAGCGTTCTGAAACCAAATTAGTGGTTTTTACAATTTTTGTCTGTCTGTCTTTCTGTTTGTGTATTCCGGATTCACGTAAAAACTACTGAACCGATTTACATGAAATTTTGTATGTAGGTAGTTAGTAACCACAACTTATAGGTAACAACTTATAGGCTACTTTTTATCCGATTATAGAACATTAAAAAAGAAGGTTAAGTGTTTTCCTTCCTTTACATGTTAATTTTCTAATATTTTTTTTAAAGGATAAGGGTGACAAACGAGCACACAGTCCACCTGATGGTAAGTGGTTGCTGCGGCCCATAGACATCTACATCTATCCTCCATTACAAATCAAAATGTAGATGCGTTGTCACCCGTGAGGACCAAGATGGAATGCCTCATTTCCAGTAAAAAGGGCGCCTCCGGCCACCTGCACTCACCAATCGAAACGCAGAGGTAAACCTCTACTTCACGCTGGTTTTCTGTGAGGTCGTGGTACCACCCCGGTTCGAGCCGGCCCATCCGTGCGACAGCAAAAGCTGCCGCGTGGCTCTGCCACAGGGGGACGAATAGAATAGAATAGAATATTTTTTATTCAATATACATTACATGTGTAATTCTTATTGAAAGTCATTTTTTACTTTACCACTGGTTCGAAAAAACCCTCTGTCCTGGGAAGAACCAGCAAGAAACCCAGCGGGACTTTTTTTTTTAAATAAATTTTACAATATAAATTATTACGAACTATTTACAAAATTTATTTTAGAAACTGCTTGGAAGCGATCACCTCATTCCCAAGGGTTATTATCAACCATGTATTCATTTATACTATAATAAGCCTTTTTATACAGTTTCAGCTTAATAAAACATTTAAACTTGGTAATAGAGAGAACCTGTACACTTTCCGGGACCTTGTTGTAATAGCGTATACATTGCCCCAAGAATGAATTACTGACTCTGTGGAGTCGAGAAACTGGTATCACTAGCTTGTGTTTGTTCCTAGTGTTTACAGAATGTATATCACTTCTTTTACTAAAACTATCTTTGTTTTTGTGAACATACATTAAATTTTCGTAAATATACTGAGAGGCCAAAGTTAATATATTAATTTCTTTAAATTTATCTCTAAGAGACTCTCTCGGTTTTAGATTGTAAATAGCTCTAATGGCCCTCTTCTGTAAAACAAAAATAGTTTCTGAATCAGCCGCATTTCCCCATAGCAAAATCCCATAAGACATTATGCTATGAAAATAACTAAAATAAACTAATCTAGCTGTCTCGACACTAGTGAGAACTCTAATCTTTTTTACAGCATAGGCTGCAGAACTTAGTCTGCTTGCTAATTTGGATATATGGGGGCCCCACTGGAGCTTTGCGTCAAGAGTGATGCCAAGAAAAACAGTGGATACAACAGGGCTCAATTCCTCCCCATTTAAAAACACATTGGTATTCAGATTTTGAACATTCGTTGTTGTAAATTTAACACAATTAGTTTTATTTCCGTTCAAATGCAGATTATTAACGTTAAACCAATGCACTAATTTTGATATAGCATTATTCACTTCGTCACATTTAAATGATTGACGTTTAAGTTTAAAAATCAAGGAAGTATCATCAGCAAATAATACTATATCATGACTATCCCCTACAAGGTGAGGTAAGTCATTAATATACACCAGAAACAGGAATGGGCCGAGAATCGAGCCCTGAGGTACACCCATTAGTACAGGTGACCCGGAAGAACTTTTACCATTGATAATAACCTTCTGTTTTCTATTACTTAAATATGAAATAATAAGTTTAAGCGCTGTGTTCTTGACACCATAGTACTGTAGCTTCCTGATTAATGTCTCATGGTGAACACAGTCGAAGGCGGGTTGGTTTTGAAATAAGTACCATATTTATAAATAAAGTTTGGTAAAATAATTTGAAACTACACCGATTTAGTTCTCAAAACAGCGCCATCTATCATTAAATGGAAAAAGTAGTATATTTTGCCTTCAGTTACTAATAAATTAAATAGTAATATATTTAAATAATTTACATTTATGTTTAAATAATTAGAATATTCTGACGTTTACTTTTTTTAGTACTTTTGTTATTTTATTTTAAAAGTGTACATAATAATTTCAATAGATAAATAAGTAGTGACGTCTATCAAAAATATGAAAATTGATAAGGTGTTTTTTTTATTTCAATTACTATATGTCTGTCTGCAATTATTGCAAAATTTTCATTATCATTATAGTTACATTAAAGAGATGTTTATATATGTCGCAGCCAGATCGTTAATTCGATCGAGAACTAATCATATATTATCATAAAATCGTTTCGTGAAATGATGTGGTCATTTCATGATATTTAACACTGTTTGTTGACCATGTCATGATATAGCTGGACCAAATCAATGAATAGAAATCGTTTGAAGATATGAATAACTAAACACAACGTTGCTATTTCATGATATGGTCATATGACGATTTCATTAAATCGTTTTTCACCGCTAGTGGCGCTGATAGCGTATTTTTTTTACAGAAACAGAACTTTTAACAGAATTGACATCACTTTATGCCTTACTGTCATAATAAATAAATGTTCGCTTCTATTGCTGATATTATTAGGTAGTATAGTTTTGGCTTTTATTATTTCGTCTAAAAATATCGCCATCTACTTACTTCTAAATAAACTAAAATGGTAAGTCACAGATAAAATTAAATAATAGAATGCTACTGAATATAAGATGTAAATGATTGAAAATTCGTTCGTGGCATAGTTGGATGTGTAATTACTAGTTAGATGTGATCAACAATCATGCAAAAGCTTAGTTTCAGTTTTTATACGAATTTATCTCGTAATTTGTATTTAAACAAATACGAGGGCTATGTAGTTCGCCGTGAGATTTCACCATGGCACGGTAGCAAAACGTGTACGATTCTCTCAAGGATGAATCTGTTATAAAAAATTTTACGTGCTGACTTAACACGTGTCCTTTAAAGTGGTAAATAATAACTTCGTGGAGAAACTTAGATGTCAGAGTAATTAAAATAGTTGTAGAGATGTGAAAACCGTTAATATGCATTGAAGCATTGCAGCATACTTTATTTCTGCCCACAAAACACTATAGGTAATGAGGAGCATCCTGTACACAGTAGTGAAACGTATATTAGCTGCTACTTTACTTTTTTACCTTTAATGAGACTTATACATCAGTTTATAATTTAAGATAGTTTTCATATTTTCAAATATATTAAGATATTTGTGACAGTCCTGGTTTCATGGCTCATATAAGTATATATAAAAATGAACAGGTTCTTGGGGAAAATACTTTAATTAAAGAAAGCAGATTTTACTTAAACAAAGGTTCATTTTATTGTACTTGTCAAATGCGGTAATCCTAAACTGATTTAAACTTAAATTTCATGGTACGTAAGCATTATATATATATATATATATATATATATATATATAAGGTAAAAAAAGTTAAAATTAAACGTGATATAATCCGTAACATTAGTTTTATTCCATGTGTAGTATTACATCATTATAGAACTGCATTTATGAAATTATGAAAGTCTACTCGAACGTAAAACAAATATCTAAATATCTACATCTACTTTATGGTGCCAATCAATATTAAATAGGACCAATGAGATGAATAAAATATCTCGAATAAGCATACCTACCTATAGGTACCGTAAATTGATAAAAGACCATGAAATTGATCATTATTTTGTTAAAATTAAATTTACTTTAATTATGAATGAATATAAAGAGCAAAATATAAATAATAGTAATAAATTTTGATTCCAAGACAATTTACCTTTCTTATGGATACATCGGAAGACACGCCTGATGTAAAAAATAGTAGCTGTTTCTAGACATATATTCACGTGTTCCTGTAGCATATTACAACTATGCCAAATACCAATCATCTACGTCTAATATATTTTAGAATTCAAAAAAATTTTTGACAGACAGAGACACAGACACCGAGGTGACTAAAAGTGATGGAATTTCGCTTCTTTTTAATGTATTCCGCCTAGTTCATCAATTCCGTTAATTATCACAAGTTGCCGTCGTACTAGAAATTGATAAGAGGAGTATTGTATGTGTAAAACTCTCATGTTTAAATTATGAAGGTGACTATATTTTTTAATTTAAAAAAATGACTACATGATCTACTGTTCTATGAATCTTTCTGTAAGTGCAGCGTCAGTTATTATTTACAGCAGAGGTAAGCACTGCAACAACAAGAATAGCTCTATGGTCGGATATTTTAATAGTCGAAAAACTAAATGACATTTATTATGCTCTAAAATACGACTAGTACAATGAATTATTATAGAATATTATTATAATGAGTAAAAGTATCGTGCAGGAGAAAGAAACATAATTTTGGATGCGTAGGGTCTTCACTACATGAAGTCACGACTTGCACAAGATGGCGATCAGCTGCATTGAAGCCGAAAACGATGAAAAGACATCGTAATATTTGAATGTTAAGGTGATAACATCAATATTAGTAAAGCCCTCACCTGTATCAGATCCTGGTATCCGTTTACACTCATACTGTCTATTATAGAAATCTGAATTTGAGTATTTTGTGCAGTTGCTGGCGAATTGGGAGGCGTCGGCGTTCGCGTGTGGAGCACCGGTAGACGCTCCAGACGCGCTGTCACTCGCTCCAGACGCTCGATCAAAGCTTCGAACTCCGCGGCCGGGTTATTAGATGCCGCTAACTGCTCGTTTTCACTGCCTATGGGAAAAAAACGCAAATTAAATGCACTATAACATTCTAATTTTATCCTTTTCGATATCGACGATAATGACTACCGAATATAATCGTAAGCAATCAATTGCGCATGACATAATGCTACAAGGTATGACCAATGTACAAACATCAGACACTCGTTCGGCCTAGCCTACCCATAGCCAGTGTAACGTGTATGGGATTAGACATGAGTGAGATACGGATTCACGTCAGACCTTCCAGTCACACGGACCGAAACCTGAGAGAAGCACGCGGTACTTGCTAGACACTTTCTGGCGTGCTTTTTCTTCTCTTCATAAATTTCTTTAACCCAGACCCTTATTTGTTACGTTCTTCCCTAATGAGACCGACACTTGAACATATTACGCTTCCAGCTTTTATTCTCTGCAGCGCGGACACGCTCAAAGAATGAGATCACTTATTTTAAACAGGTCCTGCCTTCTTTCTCACTATTTTAACGAGCATATCATTTGTTATGTCATCAAGACGGCGACAATAATAATCAATAATTTTTGAATTAACACTTATTTTAGCTCCGGTCGTGTGTCTAACTCAAAACCCGCAGCACTAGGCCTTAAATCTCCATATATATTGTGTATGAACACAAGAAATTACATGTCCTTATCGAGCCTATATAAACCCAATGCTAGTTCTAATACTTTTTAGCCTTTGGTCGTATTAAAATAACGGCGCTACATAATATGTCCCACTGGGTCCCATCTGTCCTTTCTGAGAGGGTATTGAAGCAGGAAAGAGTCCACTGCACTGTCCCAAAGCATGTTGCAGGACTTCCTCGATATATCTTTAATTTCTCTAGAAATGCAGGTTTCGTCACAATGTTTAAGAAACTTAAACAGTTTGGTGAACCCACGACATATGCAGAACTTGGATGCAACGCTCTGGATTATTTACACCGATAACAAGCAAACTATAGATGTTTTAACTTAAAGATGTAAAAAGCAATAAGAAATTATCACATTCCAAGCATATGTGTAATACACATAGTGCCGTATGGTACAGTATTTAAAAACAGTAACATTTCGTTTAAAAACACTTTTCCCCGTGAATAATATGTAATTCTGATAATTAATATTAATATATTATGCAAAAAACAAACCGCCGCGCCGCCTAGCCAAATTCATTTATAATCACACACACAAATATAATCATTCATTATTTCAAAGCTGGAAGAGCCCAATATCTCACCGTCAGCCTTTTCCGCAATTTCTGCATCCGTGGATTCATTCATACACGCGCCCTCGATATTGGCTCGCTTTTCAAACATTTTTATTAAATACCGCATGTTTTTAATATTATCACTTTCAGACATATTTACACAAAAAGCAAAAAAATTGAAAACGCACAAACACTATGAGATAGAACAAAACTGACAAATGGAATAAATACAATTGACTTGATCGTGCTGATTGGACGTGCTCTATCAATAGACTGTCATAAGAGATATGAACACGATAAGGACTGACTAAAATGACTACTACACTGATAAAACTTGAATTACAATAAGAATGTGGTTACAAAAAATAATACACTTTCTAGGAAAGCAGATTCGTAGAATTTGATTACATATTTCATTTCGTAAATATAAATGAGTTTTTTTTATTGTAAGTAATTAGAAAAATTGTACTAACAACAGAAAATAGGGACTGTTATATGATTTGAAGTCGTGGACATTGTGATTACTCGCAGCTTTATGACTTAAATATGCATTATTTATATAACATTTTTCTAGAAACAGTATTAAAGATGTTCCCTATGTATGTATTAATGTATATATGGCAAAAAAAATTGTAATTGTTTTAATAATATCCCCGTTGACATTTGCTTAGGAACCCCAATAGGTATATAAGGTTAAAATTTCTACGTTTATCTGTACTAATTTGTAAATTGCTGATGCCGAAACCTAAAATTTATACAAATTACGAAGTATTAGCCAGAACTGCTCGGGATTTTCCAATTCAATTAAATTGTATGATGACATTTTTATTAAATAATATCCCACTTTTAACCTTGGGTATACCTATTCTATTAAAAGATTTTGACCTATTCCACGAAATATGTTTGTTATTTCAATACACTACAAGCACCTCTGAACGAAGTTAGATAATGGTATAACTTTCAAAAATATGCCAACTATTTTAATAAATTACTTAATAAATTAATTAAAAACTTAAACTTCAAAGAATAATTTAAAAATTTGGATATCACAATTTAGCTTCGCTAAAACCAACGCGTGTAACGAACTGACAGAATTACGAAGTAGGTACTTGTTTTACTAGCAATGGTGTCACGTCACCGCACCTCGGTTACAACTTACAGTGGAATTATCGAGAGACGAGTCAACGACTCATTAAGGATAAATTAAAATGTTCATTGCCTTTACACAATATGTACCTAATAAAAAGTTAACTTATCTAAAACGTAGTAAATTATATGTGATCAACCATCGTAATAGTCCACTGCGAGATATAGGAAAAGCTTCGCGATTTTTCAATATCTTCTCAATTAACCAAAACCTATATATCTCCACGCAAATCGCAACGCTACGCTGTCGCTAAAAGACGATGGCCGAATGGTCATAGAGCTTGGGTACTACCTGGGTCGACTCCTAGCCGTAGACAAAAATGAATAAAAACACGAAAAATTACCTTGTCGTTCTTCGAATCTCGTTGTTGTTTGGCCACATTTTATTAACATTGCACCACTGATTTATTCATAAGTTTACATCATTAACTGTGATAGTATAATCAATTATCTTCATCATCACGATAATAACATCTTCATCATCACGATAATAACAGGTAACAGCCAATTATAGTCCACTGATTATAAGACCTCCCTCATAGATTAACTCATTGGAACGATATTTTTCATAGTGATATTTTATTTATACGTGGTAGAACCATGCTGCAGTTATATTAGTAATATTATATAGCATTGGCCGTTAGTTTGGACATAGCGAAGGCCTTCGATCGGGTATGGCACTAAGCACTTCTTTCGAAGCTACCTTCCTGTGGGATTTCCGAGAAATTGTGCAAATGGATCACCAGTTTCCTTGCTGATCGGAGCATCAAGGTCGTAGTAGACGGTGCATGCTCTGATTACAAGCCTATCAACGCTGGTGTTCCACAAGGCTGCGTGCTATCACCAAGGCTTTTTCTCCTGCATATCAATGATATGTTGCAAACTGGTAACATTCATTGCTATGCAGACGACAGCACTGATGATGCCTTATATACCGGCCGTGCAAATATTTTTCGGCAAAACGTCACCGAGTACCGGGACAAACTTGTGTCTGAAGTCGAGTATTTACTTAACAAAGTCTCGGATTGGGGGCGACTAAATCTAGTCCAATTCAATCCCCAGAAGACACAAGTTAGCGCGTTTACCGCTAAAAAGAACCCCTTTGTCTTATCTCCTTAGTTTCAAGGCACTCACCTTGCTGCCTCAGCTAGCATCGGAATCTTCGGCGTCGACATATCGAATAGCGTGCAGTTTCGTGGTCACTTGGAAGGGAACGCCAAATTGGCCTCTAAAAAACTTGGCCTGCTCAGCAGAGCGGGACAGTATTTCATGCCAGTACACCGCTTGCAACTTTACAAAGCGTAAATTTGGCCTCACATGGAATACTGTTCTTATCTCTGGACCGGGGCACCCCAGTGCCAGCTCCTTCCACTTTACCGCATCCAGCGCAGAGCGGTTCGAATCGTCAACGACCGAGTTCTTTCTGATGGGCTCGATTCACTGGCTCTGCGTAGGGATATTGCATCTCTTTGCATTTTCTATCGAATCTACCACGGGGAGTGCTCTGACGAATTGTTCGGATTAATTCCAGCCGCCAAATTTGACGAACGCACATTGCATCAAAATTCACGATACCATCCTCATCATCTGGATGCTTGGCGGTCCACGACTGTGCGTTTTACTAGGAGTTTTCTTCCTCGTGCAACTTCTCTGTGGAATTGTTTACTGCCGGAGATTTTTCGGGACCGATACGATATAGGGACCTTCAAGAAAAGAACTTACTCCTTCCTAAAAGGCCCGCAACGCACCTGCAATTACTCTGGTGTTGCGGTTGTTCATGGGCGGCAGTAGTCACCCTCAGGTGAGCCGCAAGCTCGTTTGCCCCCTCTTCTATAAAAAAAAACCGACCGGGGAAGGGCCACGCTCTCAAAGAATACCAGCGTAAAATAGTAGCTTAACATTTGTTTGTTGTTGTCTGTTTGTTTCGTATAGTGAGAGAACCGGAGACCATTTTTACTGGAAAAGAGGCATTCCATCTTAGGCTTCACGGTTGCCAACGTGCATTTTGATACTTTATTGAGGATAGATGTAGATGTCTATGGGTCACAGCAACCACTTACCATCAGGAGGACTGTGTGCTCGTTTGTCACTCTATCCTATAAAAAAAATTATAAACTCTTGGTATATAATATCTCTTATATACCACGAGTATTAGGGAGTAGGGAGTATTCCCTAGTATCTCCCGCGTAGTCTATTAGTAGATTATTCGGAATTTGTCGCCCCGTTCGAAATAATAAAATAAACTAGGTAGAAGGCCAAAATTAACTAGGATATAGAAGGAAAAAATCAACCAGGATATAGGAGCAAAAAAATCAACTTTGGTAATGTGGTCGCCTCTCCCATGGTAAACACAAAAAGACTAAAACATAAATGGGGTCGCCATTTATGTTTAATCTTTTAAGATGGATATTCCGGTTTTTGCCGGACGGAACTGAATATTTCAGCTAACCTAAACGTGAGTTTCCACTGGTAAAACATTCACTTAAAAACATATTTAAAATTAAATTTTTACGATATATCGTATTATTGTGTTTCCACTGCCAAAGAATATATTGAAGTAAAATATGTTTGAGATTCAATAGAACAAAACATGTTTTACAACAAGTTTTGGGCACCAGAAAACGACACAAAACATTCATTATTGTGTTAACATGAAAACGGGT